ACACTGTGACCACAGTGAAGTGTAACTCTGATCACACACTGTGACACTGCAATCCTACTGTACTACACTATCACACTGTGACCACAGTGAAGTGTGACACTGATCACACACTGCAATCCTTCTGTACTACACTATCACACTGTGACCACAGTGAAGTGTAACACAGACCATACACTGTATTATACTGTGACACTGCAATCCTACTGTACTACACTATAACACTATGACCACAGTAAAAATCAATTCGACCACATACTGTACTCTATTAAACTGTGACACTGTGACAGTGTTTTATTCACTTTAAGGGAACAGATTCCCAGCAGTTCTATCCATTTGTGATTTTGCTATAAGCGGCAGGTTCTTGCATAGTCAGCACTGAAGAAATAAAGAACTGGATATTATCATGTTCTGTACATTGTTATACATTTCTATTATTGTTTTATCTTAGCAACCAGAACAAAGCATTTCAGTCTGTGCAGTTTCATTGAAAAAAACAAAAAACACACAACAGCCTGCAGCTCAGAGTAAGACCTGGAGTGGCTCAGGTTGCAATGCAGTGGGAGTCTGTCTCATTTCCAGCTCTGTACATTTGCTCTGGGGAACAGTGTGTCACCTTCTCTTTCATTCGCTCCATCTTCTTCACAGAGCTCCGCCTCTGCTGCTTGGGGTCGCCACCTGATTGGCTGACCCCCTGGTCAGCTGACTTGCCCATGTGACGCTCTTCCAGTTTCTCCGCCTCCTTCATCTTCCCCTCTGCACTGAGGCTGTCAGTGTGGTATTGGTGATAGGTCTTCATGGCCTGGACATTGCAAACACACAATTAACTCACATAACTCGCTCATAATGAAACACACACAATAATAAAATTAATGTATTAAACTCACTGTCTGCAATTCGCTGGTCACCTTCAGGAGCTCATCCTGCATCTGCAGTCCAACCTCTTTGCTCTGAGAGAAGGCAGAGAAACTTAATTCAGCATCTGCACAGCAGGGCTACTCAGCTTGCAGTTTCTGTACCATTTTCATTAGCGCATTTCTCATGTGTATCAGTGTGTCCGTGTCACAGTCAGTGTGACAGTGTGTGAGTGTGTTAGTGTCACAACCAGTCTGTCAATGTGTGTCAGTGGCACAGTCAGTGTGTCTGTGTGTGAGTGTGTTAGTGTCACAAGCAGTCTGTCAGTGTGTCAGTGTCACAGTCAGTGTGACAGTGTGTCAGTGTCATAGTGTGACAGTGTGTCAGTGTCACAGTGTGTCTGTGTGTGAGTGTGTTAATGTCACAACCAGTCTGTCAGTGTGTCAGTGGCACAGTCAGTGTGACAGTGTGTGAGTGTGTTAGTGTCACAAGCAGTCTGTCAGTGTGTCAGTGTCACAGTCAGTGTGACAGTGTGTCTTTGTGTGAGTGTGTTAGTGTCACAACCAGTCTGTCAGTATATCAGTGTCACAGTCAGTGTGTGAGTGTCAGTGTGTCAGTGTCACAGTCACAATCAGTGTGTCAATTACACAATCACCGTGTCAGTGTGTCTGTGTCAGTGTCCACACATGAAAGCCAGGCCCAGTGCACTACAGGACGACGGTGTCAATGTCCATGTGTCCGGGTCTCGTCTCAGCGTGTGTGTTGCGGGAGCTGTACCTTCTTGGACAGCCGGCCCGTGTCCTCGGCGATGTGCGTCAGTCTGACGGTGATGTGGGCGCTGCACGTGTCTCCCAGCGCAGCGTGGTCGCGGCTCTCCTGCCGGGTCTGGTTCAGCAGGAGGTACCAGCAGTTGACAGGCGACAGGAGGTTCTCATCCTTCCTGAGAGAGAGAGGGAGGGAGGGGGGGCAGGGAGGTCAGAGGGCGAGACCGGTTGTACGGTCTATAAGGCAGTTAACTACTGTAATTGCACTCTGCTTCCTTGATTGGTGGAGAATTCCACCTGAAACATTACTGCTGCCGGATGAATCCCGATGTTCTGACATTTGCAGTAAAGGGTTGAGTTCTGTCTTACTGCATTTTCAAATGGAGGATCTGTTCAGCGTTATGTTTTTACTACAATGGTCCCAGCATGCCTATCTGACCCCTCAAGGACAAGTGTCTAGAAGCATTTGCTGCCGACATCCTGAAAGGATAAAGCATTTCATTGCACTTGTGCATATAACAAACTGAACTGAAGTGAATGGGAGCGCATAATAATGTCCACAGAGAACACAAAAGGCTCAACAGAAGCAGAAATTACTTGAGGTTCTGCTGCTCCTTGGGGTGACGGATCTTGGAGGAAAACCTGTCGACCAGCTTTTCCAGAGAGCGGGAATACTCCAGCTCAATCTCGGCCCGGCGTCGCAGGAACTCATTCAGGTCCTGGATCAGCTGGACCCGCAGCTCAACCTGCACATCCAGCACCTTCAACTGTTCTGACAACTGGGAGCGCACCTCTGACAGAGAGAGAGACACAGGGGTTAATACACACAC